GTAGAATTATGGTCTACTATGATATTAGTACTGCTCTAATAATAGACCTAATCCTAAATTTGTAGATTTGTCATGATATAACTGCCTAATCTATAAGATCTTACGTGGAAGTCACACCATCGACTACGCCAACTCACTGTATCGTACCAATTACCAACACATGATGTAGAGCAAGGTTAGGCTAGAGAAAGAACAATATATTTAATATGAATAGAAGAAATAAGATAACATTCAGCAGGGACCACGCCTGCACGGCCGAGCCATGCCGTTCGATCAACTCTAATTCACTCAACTCATTGTTCGCGCCTTCTCCATTGTTAGGTATTTCCCCGAGTTTAATATTGAATATCTATTTTCTGAGTAGTCTCGTGTTCACAGCTTTGTGGATTGTGTGGCTATTGTCCAATGCCACTACACTACTCTCCCACCAGAATCAACGTGATGTTGGTTCGATACCGAATTGGATGGGATCGTCGCGCGCCGGAGGTTACCAAGGATAATAAGAATCCTCTGGGTAATGATAAGCTGAAAGATAAATCAAAAAGAAGGCGGCAGCATCTGGTCGGGAAATACATGTAATAATTTTTAAAAAAAAATCTGCCTTCATGCTTGACACGCTTAAAATGACAATTTGGGTGAAGATTTTTTGAGCTATAAAAAAATGGGATTACAGTAATAATAATAAAACAATGCGTGTTAATAGCCGTTGGTTAATAACTTGACGTATAGGAAGTAAGTATTTTGTGTTTAGAAATATTAAAGTAATGAATATTGTAGAAATGGTTATATTGTTATTAGTTTTGGTTTAAGCTATGAAATCAAATAACGATTATGCCGGTAAGTTGTCCATATGAGTTGAATTCCAATTGCATCTGTATTAGTAGGCTAACTGAAGGAACAAAAGTATACCGTGGAGAAGAATTCCAACCAGTGTTCCAGTTAGTTTGATACGGTTTATTTAGTTACGGGGAGATTTTCTCAACCTCATTTTTACTTGACCGTGATAGAATTTATTAATACTACTAATACACATGAATGGTTATTAAAACAAACTTTCAATACATGAGTGATAATTATATGAGTTTTGGACAGATAGCTAAGAACAAATCGTTAAACATGAGTGTATTCGTAAGAGACATGCTCTAGACTAGATGTTCTGAGTTGCCATAGACTATTTATACATATTTATACCTGAAGGCTGATGATGCATACAAGTTAGTTGCAAGTATGCAGTTTATCATAAGGCGGAATACGATTTAATTGAGATATAGTGACTATAAGTTATTGAGATCAGCTAAGGCTATGTGTCATATTACTAGGTGATGTGGTGCTGCAGGATGTATTCGGCTAAATAAGCTTTTACAAGATGATTAATAGTGATTGATGCTCATGTGATTATCAGGGAGAACATAAGTTGTAACCAAGGGGAGTACACTCCTAACTCATGTCTATGATAATGCCTTGAACCTTAGTCAGTGTCGGGGTAAATTCGACATTGATGTTTTCAGTTTGCAGGAGATTTGCTCGACTGCTTATATTGATTATTTGCATGCATGATTGTGTCGCTAAACCATCAATTAGACTGACAAGGTTTTGAGATATTTACTGAATGAGCAACCGATAGAGAAACATACTGTAATCATCTGTAGTGAATGAAGATAAAAGAAAAACAACACTAGTGATAATTATAAGTCAATTTGCTGACCAATTTTACTAGTAGTTTCCTTAATTTTATCAATCATATTACGTGATTGTCAAGTTATGACAATGCTTTATGACGATATCCTGAAACTATTATGTTTAACTAGTTATAGTGTTGATCGAGGATTAGTCAGTGTAAAAATAAGTATTGTTGCTTTAGGTGATTCGAAATTATCAGAAATTTGTAGCGTTAAAGAATCCGAGACGCCTAATTTAATTATAAATTTTATATCAGAAAGATTAGTTTAGTGTTAATTCTAGTAGGCTACAGAGTTTTGATTTTAAACGTTTGTTTAGCCAACAGCTACCTGGGGATTTAGTTATTTGACTAGTGCAGTTGATAGTACCTAAATTGTTAATCTTATTATCTAAACTATGTTCGCATTTTAGGCTGCTAATATGATAAACCAATCCATAAACCCAAATACGATTAGCAACAACGACTATGATGGGTTTATTGATAAATGTTAAAGGCGATTCAGATTATTTTTAAATTTAGAAGACATGAAGATATAGTGTAACGTATGTACGGGCCAGGTTAATATGCAGGTAGGTTGTTGACGTATATGACAATTTAAAAATAATGAACATGACCAGAAAAATAATTTTAAAGTAAAGACTGCTTATGAAACTTCAAGCAGATATATGACGCGTTATAAACATTCCATAAGAAGTTACTGCATTTAACCTAGGGTCACTTACAAATATGTGACAAAAGCAACAGGAAGGGATATACATGTTAAGTACAAAAAATCATCCAGTAAAATGGTTGAACTCGCCTGAGTTATTTTTGAAAATAAGATTATTCAGTGGACGACATATATAACGCCATTCGTGAGGAGTAGTAATGATCCAGTCCTAACCATAAATATCTTACTCTAATCATAAATAATTTAGAGGTTTTTGAGTCATTTGTAGTATTTCGAAAGATAGATACCTCATATCCACAAGGATGGATGTATTTGACTTTGACTTTTCAAATTACAGAGTAACTAGTAATTTGTCTACACTTTCCAGTGCTATTGTTTTCTTTACCATAACCTATCCATTTCCAAAAGCTGCTTTCTAATTAACTAGTAACTAGCTGAAATTTCATCACAGTTGTTATAACTTCATTCATTATCGACTAAAGCTAAGAAAGAGGACAGAGAGTGTTCTGTGTTGTTTATCAAATGCATTCCACTACATTTTCAATTAGTTTCATAATCAGGATATTGTTTTGATCATGCTTAACGTATCGATATAACCCTTTTGTTCTGCTTAATTATTTGTTGTTTAGCGTAAATTTGTCCTTAGAACACTTTAAAGTTTGTTCTTATCATGAATGTGGAGATCAGTTACATGTTGGATAACTGAATTGTAATATTTCTGACTGTGATATTGAGTGACGTGGATTAAAATCGTATGGGAAACTTGGGTTACCTCAAGAGTGTATATGTCATATGTTGCCATTTAATGCTAACTATCATGAAACAAGTTGAACAAATCTTCTCATTGACTTCCTCCAACCATCTGACATGGTGGATGTAGACTCTCTGGTTGATGTTTGCACAATTATCATAACCAATGGTCAATGACATTGGATAATATGATTCAGAATCCGTCACAATAGTAGAGATATATTAATTCGTTGTCTTCCTTTAGCTATGAAGCTTCAAAGTTGTCTTTTATTTTTTACTCCTACAAATTCATTCTTTCCTTTTTAACTACATTCGATGCCCAATGTTTCCTGCTACCACTGATGTGCTTACTACGTCCGCTACTATGGGTTTATCACATATTTTCATCTTGCCATGATAATTTGGTGTGCCGATTTGAATATTTATATGTGTATATTGGTTTGCTCCTCCGATTTCAACTAATTTCTGATCTTGTACAATCATCATACATTATCATTGATGGAGAATTTTGAGTGTTTAATTTAGATCATAAGCTGACCAATCTTAGAGTTTAGGCGTTTGCGCACAAAACCAAAGGTCCTGGGCTCGAGACCTGCATGCAAGATCGTGGATGCCTACTTCTTACGAGTCCCATTCTAGGACGAAACAACCGTCCAATACTTCCAGGTTTTCGATTGTAGTCTGACACTGACTGGTTCATGTTCTCACCTAAATACATTTTATCTGGTTTTGTTAAACGTCACTAGAAATGACTTCTTATCACAGCTTTTTGAAGATCGTCCTTCATCTGGTTTTCAATAATTACTCAACTATAAAATCAGTTGATGTAAACTAAAAGTCGTACATTCTCCACAAATCATTTGTTGTTAATAATAGTAATGCTAATACAAATAGTAATACTTCTAAATGCCCTGGTATGGCCAATGTTCATTCTTCTTCTTCTTCTTAACAAACCAATTTTACATTGGAATTACGTCATAGTTTAAGACTATCACTTGTTCATCATCTCTTCTATTATCTAATTTAGAGTGCTAGCATTTCAAGTTAATATTTATAATGATGACGACTGTAGTTGAAAGGAATTTAGATAAGCAGGATATCAATAACCGACTATACAACGGAGTGCTTACTGTATTCTTATAGTGATCTAAACACAAATCAACTGTATACGATCCAGAAAAGTTTAACCGGCATTGAATGAACATTCATGAAAGAGAAGATTGGACTTTTGGCAATAAAACTTCCAATGTCTTTTTAAAATGTGAAGATGAATTACTATAATATCCAGAAAAAAACCCTTTTGATATTAATCAACATATGATCACTAGTAACTGGAGTTCTAGTGAGAAGCAGTGACCAGTGTAGTTCAACCGGGTCTGTTGTGAGACAGTAACTCATTGAAGACAATGGTGTATGTCTCACTCCATTTCGTGGATTGGTTGGAGTTAGACATTAACACCGTTGGATGCCAGCTCAGTGGTCTAGTTGGTTAAGCGCCTGGCGCGATACTGATGGTTTCTGAGTTCGAGTCCCACGGAGCGGAGTCGTGGATGCGCACTACTAAGTGGTCTCACAATAGGACGAAAGATGTTCGTAACTATAATTTGTTATTGACAGTGAAGTTTACTAAATTTTTAAGTGACCATTCAGATAAAAGTTGAGATTATCATAGGGAATGTAGATCTTAGAAACGCGATCAGCTTATAGCTATCCAAATATAAGAAATCATATTTTAAATGAACAATATGAAATTTAGGGAACAGACTAACAATCTCTAGGACAATTAGTAAGTCACAGGTTATTGTCAACTACTATCACAACCCGATTTTGCAATTAGTATTCCCGCCCTTCCATTTCTCTATTCCTAAAATATATATATAAGCGAGTTGGTTTTCTACAAGATGGGGTTCGCTAACCTCATGGCCAGCCCTCCTCCTTTGCCCGGACTTGGGATCAGCAGTAGCCCCAGAGGGGTTCCCGGCGGAGTTATAGATATAAACTGATCCACCTAAAATGTTTTCTTTTTATGTTGCTGTCTTTCTTACTAAGTGACATTTATCATTTACTTGTAAACTAATCACATCTGTATATTCAATCGACATTTATTAAACTTTCAAATAATTCAGTTCAGCTTTTTCAATGAATCTCCGATTATACTCTTCTGTCTTCAGCTGTTATAAAGTGACCAATGTCAACTATATATATCATCTTACTATTATTATTAAGAATCATAGATTTGTATTATCCTAATGAGTAGAAAAATGGAGTATTTTTGGCGTTTTGTGACTCAGTGTAAGTCGCTTCTTCAGAGAATAAATAACCACATTAAATCAACTCGAGTTTAATTAATATAAAGGAACAAAGTAAGACTATACAAAAATATTTGTCTGATATCGGCCTACTTTGTTTTTACATCGAAGGCATTCTTTATGTTTGGATTAAATTTCAATGTAAAATTAATGTAATGAACCTAGTTTGACATCATTACTTACGTCTGTTAACCCTCGTGGAGGAGCTGAGGCCACCCTAACAGAACTCTCCTTGGGACTCTGTACTGAGAAATTACTTCCAGTTACTATTGATTCTTTTGATGTCTGCTTCTGATGCTCCCTTTCATTGTAAATTAGGACATGCCTCGCGATTCAGTTTTTTTTTATTTCCGCAATGTGTGTCTCATCCAGCGTCTTCTCCTAATTTCCTCTTCATTTAGAAGCTAGTTTGTTCTCTCGCACAGTTGGCTGTTGCTGATGATATACGGCCAACGGACATTCAGTATGTTGCGTAACTAATTGTTTATAAATAAGTGTGCATTTTTGATGATGGTTGTTATAGTTCTTGAGGTTTCAGCTCCATACAGTAGAACTGTCTTGATGTTCGTATTGATAAACCAGAAAAACGTCATAGTATGTGATATCAAAATATGAGTAGAGGCTGTCAAATGTAACTGTTTAATTTATTTAATTCAGCTGATAAAAATATGAAAACAGTCAGTATTAATCAGTGCTATTAACAATAAAACACAATATTCGAATGCACTGAACGAACACTTATGTGGGGATAACCAATTTACCATATAACGTCAAATATCATAATTCTTTCATAAAATTAAGTCCTTTATTTGCAAGTCTCCTTTCAGTTGTCGTGCACATACTTCTTCATTCTTCATATTCGAATGTCGTTGTAATTCCTCACCGTTTCCTTTTCTGTTTTTTCGTAATTCAATCTGAAACGTTTGCTAACAGGCGCACTATTTCATTTTGGTGTTACATACTACTTATATCTGTCAAAATGTGTAGCATCCATCACGCGTTTATCCGTTTTTTTATGGTTGAATAATTCAAGTGTGATTTAAATGGATTGATATAAACCTCATAACACCATACAATTCATCACATTTTATGCTGTTTGTACTTTTGTTCCTTTACATTATTGTAGATGAAATTTCATCAGCTTTCGCTTCGTCATCATCCTCATCTATTTTATCGTTGTCATCGTTTAGATCTGTATTGTCAAATAATAATAATTTAATATTAGCTACTGGATCAGCATGTCCATCAAATCCTGGAATTGTATGTAGTCATGATTATTTATTAGTGGATGTTCGTATATCTAATGTTTATAACGGTATAATTAACAATATACCAATAATTCGTTTTTGTTTAATCAATAATTCCACATTGAAAACAATCGCCACAAAGACAAAACAAAATTACCAGAAGTAGAAATGATCAATTCATCATCATCATCATTATCTTCTTCTACTTCAATCTCCTCTGGATCCTTTTCATTGAATTCAATAGATTATAATAAATTATATGCACCAGATGAATCATATTTAGTTGA